CACCAGCTGCCCAGTCCCGCACGCTCCCCGGTGACTTCCCTAACTTCCCAGTTACCGCAGGTAAACAGTTTTACCAAATGTTTTGTGCTAGTGAGCATGGGTAGCCACACCCCCAGATTTAAAAGGTTCCTGGCCTTCCGCCAGCCATCCCAAAGCTAACCTCACACAGTTCAGTTTTTGGCTACGGTGGAGTCCCACTTCTAAGTACCAGTTTCCGTATCTGTTTGCTTTTGCTGCAGAGCAATCCCCCACAAGATCTTAGTGATGTGACACGATGCCCATGGGCCTGCAGGCAAAGCTCCCTTTGACACCGCAGTTCTGCGGGTCGGCTGCCAGGGCTCTGCTCCTTCCGTGTACCTTCTGGGCCCAAAAGAGAAGAGTTTAGCTCCCAGCGACATTCTCGAGGAAGTGGCTGAAGCCTTGTCTCCCCACCAACACATTGTCCCTCTTGCCCACGTTCCCCTGGACAAAGTAGGTCACACGGCTAATCTGGGGATGTGAAAAGTGAGAAAGGAGACTCTGCCCTTGGGGGAGAGGAGCTGAGCAGTCCCACGGTGAAGGGCGCAGATACAGGCAAGAGTAAAGAGGCCGATAATGACAGCTGTCACGGTCTGCCCTCGTGGGAACAAATGATCCCAGCATCAGACTCAGCACTCGGTCCTGTGACCTACACCACTTCTGGACGCCACTCTAGCAAATAAAAGGCTTCTGCCCCAACCCCCAGGCCCTACGAACAAGAGACAATCACAGTAAATATTCCCAGCAGTCGCCGGCCCACAGCAGGTGTCGCTGGCCCTGTCCTCCGGGTGGAAGACGTGCGTGGACAGGCCCCGCTCCTATGTCCTCAGGAGGCTCCCGATCCATTGCTCCCCTTGCTCACCTTATTCTGGACTATTCTGTGCTCTGCGGTCCAGCCTACGATCAACACAGATACTCCAGCTTCGTGTTGACCCGCATTTCTGCCCATGGCAAATCTTCTCCCGGGGTTTTCTTCTGACACATGGGCGTCAAGATTTCAAGTGCACTGGCTGTAGGGAGCACCGCTAGGTCTTGCTCGTCCCACGTCTGACAGCCCATGCCTTTGCTTTGTTCAGACTGCTTGCACGGACTCTAATTCTCGACAAGCCTGAGTTTAAAATCACCAGCTTGCTATTTGTTTTCCAATTGGCCCATCTTTTTCAACTTTTTCCTTCTTGTTTAGAACTGAATATTTTCTATAATTCTGGTCTATCTCTTTTGTTGACTTCCGAGCTGCAATTCTGTTATTTTCAAGGTTGTTTTGAGTTGATGGCACGTACCCTCCTCTCATCACTGCCGACACTCCAGGGACAGTGTCCCGCCTCCAGGCTGCGCGGCCACGTTACTCCATGGTGGCTACATGTCTCCCCGCCCCAGGGCTCTGCGGTCATATATTTGTTTAACATGTTATAAACCCACACGGCATTGCTATGATGTTTACATAAAATTTATTTGATAAAATACTAACTTTTTGCAGGCTAATGACATCATAGTTTTATACTAATATGTTTGAAAACTTCAAAACAATAAATTTTATTTATAATTCCTAATGTGAAATTATTTTTTAAAATATTAATTTATTTATTTCAGAGAGGGAGAGGCAGAGGGAGGGAAACAAGCAGATTCCCCACATGAGGGCCTCAATCCCGTGGCCCTGAGATCCTGACCTGAACCAAAATCAAGAATTGGACACTTAACCGACTGAGCCACCCAGACACCCTAGAAATTATTTTTTAAGTATTTTATTTATTTATTTATTTGACAGAGAGAGGGATAATGAGAGTAGAACACAAGCAGGGAGAGTGGCAGAGGGAGAAGCAGGCTTCCCACTGAGCAGGGAGCCCGATGTGGGACCCGATCCCAGGACCTCAGGACTATGACCTGAGCTGAAGGCAGAGGGTTTAAGACACTGAGCCACCCAGGTGCCCCTAGCCTCTTCCTTTTTTATATAAGAAAAAAATTAGAATTATAAACGTATTTAGATATGAGAAAAATAAGCTTTTCTTCTCACAACTATAGCTTTGGGAATTGAGGAGAAAGGATTTTAATCACAAGCCACTTGCCGGTTTCCGGGTGTACTGCCATAATCCAAATGCAGTGTTTTTATTATTAGGGCTCTATAATTTTCTAGTGTGGGATAATGCATTTTTAAAATATATATATAATATTATGCCAAAAAATAAAAAGAATTGGAGATTTAGATCCCTTTAACGTTATGTGAGCTTCTCGTTTTCCGATTGGCTGTAATTTTAACCTGATTTCAGATGTGCCATCTTAATCTTGCACACATATCATGGATTCACTTGCCCTTTTTCCTGGTCAGAAATGTGTTCATGACACATCTCCTTTTAAATACATATTTTGAAAAGTATTTTTCCTTTTAGAAGACATAATCCCTATCTATTACCACCACCTTCCCCAAAAAGAAAAAAGAATGAAACAATCTGACCACAGACATTCAAAGTGGCAGGGAACAATGTTTAAAGATCACTTTCACCTTGTATAGACCCTCTGGAACCCCAAAGACAAGGAGGTCAGATTGTATAATTCCTTCTTTTAAAATTGGGCTATATATTTATTGTTCTTGAAAACTTTAGAACCTACCTTAATCTTGGTAGAGAAACAACTCAGGACTTTCCCTTTGCATTCTGAGTTAGGACCGATGGCCAAGGATCTCAACTAGGTGTTCCTTCTATGCAGCCGTACCTCTTTCTAAGGGTTCCATAAATAGAGCTGGCAATAACTTGTTTTCTTAGCCTGGAATCTTACCTCCGATGCTATAGCACACGTCACTGTTTCTACCCACTTTCCAAGAGCTTTCTCTCTTTCATTTCTCACAACAACACTGATGGGCGAGCATTTTTTTTCTTTGTCTTTGCAGATAAGGAACTTGAATTCTTGGAGTGGGTAACTCTCACTCAAATCCAGGTCTTCTGCACCAAACTGCAGGTTCTTTGCACTATGTGGCTGCCACTGCCCCATGGCACAACCAGAAAAACACTGTTTGGTTTATATAAATATTAATTTTTGAATTTGAACTCTGGGTCACCTTTGGAAACTCAAATGTGTCAAGATCCAGTCCACCTTCCACATGTAAATTCAGTCTCTCCAGCCAGAGTGGAAAGCCCCTGCAGAAAGGGCCGTGTGACTCAGTCTCCCTGTGGCCCCCGGCCATGCCCTCCAGAACCCTCCACCTGGCTCCTCTTATGCCTTCAGGTCAGTCCTGGAGTCCTGACACTTGCTGGCCTGCCAGGGGACGGGCGCTGGGGTGGACCCTAGGAGGACAAGACCCTGGCGGCAGCCTTCACAGAGCCGTGTGGACTCCCAGCGCTGTGGGAGCCCAGGGGGCTGTCCACGCCCTCAAAGCCCAGCCCTTCTCCAGCAGCCCCTGCTGGCACCTCGGCCGGGCAGGAGCCACAGTGCAGACCGGGGCCAGTTTCATCTCCCAGCTCTATCCGGGAAGCAGCTTACTGAGAAAATATTCTTCTAATGTGTCTGTCTATAAATCATCTGATTTAGGACGCATCTGCATGCAAGCGGCATTAAATCTAGTAGTTGTGACATAGAGGAAAACTTTCAAGGGCAAAATGGTTGAGGAGAACCATGTCCCCCGTGGACGGCAGGCACCCGTACTCTAAATACTCAGCCCTCTGCACTGAGTTCTGGGTTCACACTCAGTAAGCCAAGTGGATCAGTGCGTGTCCCAGAAGGGCAGGTAGACCCGAGCGCTGGACTGCAACCCTGGCAATGATAAGGCATGAGTTCAATACAGTAACTCATAAGTGAGCAATGCTGACTTTTAAATGCTTCCCCCACTTCTTCAGGAGGGTTCAAAGCCCCTTAGCCTTATTCCTCTTAACCTCCAGCGTCCGTGATACCACGTGCATCCATAATGCTGCCTTACTGGCCAAGCCCCAGTGGATGGGCCATCCACAGCTCTCAGCAAGCAGAGCTTCTGAATATATTAAGCCCCAAAGAGTAGCATCAGATTAAGGATTCAGCCACTAGATGGAGAAATTGCCCCGATCAAGCACAAAGCACCATTCTGGTTCTCTGCTGGGAACACAAGCAGGAAAAATACTTACAAATGCCATATTGTCCAAACATACAAGCTGTAACTTTTTGTCAATTCATTTGATAGGCTTTTCTTTGAATTGCTTGAATCAGACACACATCTCACGCTTGTCTTTACTGTCCTATGCTGTCATTATCCGCAATTCAGTGCTGGCTACCTAAGCTCTTGAAAATCACTTGTCATCTTTTGCATGTTTGTGGTAATTAGCATTGAGTAAATGCATGCGGATTTCACTCGCTGCTCACTGGAGAAAGTATCAGGTTCACAACAGATTTAAAATGCTGGTTTGGGACAAGGTCTTCACACCAGCCATCACAAAATCCCGCCCCAAAAGAGGAGTCTAGATAATAACTAAACCAGCCAAATTTGGATATTGCCTTTATTTTGCAGAAAATGTTTCCTGCTGATTGTCTTTGGCTACTTAGAAGAAAAATATAAACAATCATAGGTTTAACAATACGAGAGATTAACTATCTATGCTTGGAACATTCTAGCAGGCAGAGCAGGCAAAGCCGCGTTTCAACTACGATCTGCGGTCCTCAGCTGTGATGACGGGATTCTGTCCGTCCCAGCGCAGCTCGCGCCATGGCCCGGGCCACAAAGGGCCTGGAAACTACCGCCAAGCAAAGGCAGGGAATTAAGTGTGCTTTTTACCTTGCCCATGTAGGACCGCTGGAGTTTATAGACTCCGATGGGCCAAGTCGCCCATGTGCCCTACGAGAGGCAGACAGTTTCTGGACCCTAGAAAATCATTTTTACTGCGAATCGCGGTAAGTCCGGCCAGCGGCGAGGCTTGCGAACCTATTCACCTGCGCACACCAGCGGCCGCGGACGGCGGGCACCGCGCTCCCCAGAACAGCAGAACGCGGCCCCTCCTCCCGCTTTAAAGGGAGGGTGATGGGGACTACTTCCTCCCCTGGACCCACGAGCTGCCGCGCTGTACCCGGAACGGCAACCAGGTCCACAGCGGAGGCCCCACACGAAGTCCGGCGTCTGTCCCAACGCAGGCCTCGCTTCACATGGAAGGTGGCGACACCGGCGTCCACGAGGCTAGGAGGCGGGCCTGCGCCGCCGCGTCGTACTGGCTGTCGGGAATGTCTGTGGCCGTGGGGGCCCCTTCGTACAGCGGGGATCCCGACGAGGAGGAGGCCTGCCCCGGGTGGGTGAGAGGCGCCGCGTGCGCGGGCGAGCCCCGGAAGAACTGCGCGCCGAGCCCGTTGGCCATCGCCGCCGTCGGGGCCCCGGGCGTGATGGCGCCGTTGCTCACGGACCACAGGCTGGGGTACTGGCTGAAGGGGAAACGAGACGCTCAGGCCACCGGCGACGCGGAGGGAGGCGCACGGGGACACCGACCCCGACACCCCCTCCCCCGACTGGCGCCCTGGGCGGGGCCGTCCCCGCAGGCCGTAGGCTCTGTCGGGTGCACAGAGCCACTGTCCCATCCGGCGGCGAGAAACCGAAGCAGCGGACGGGACCGCCTGCAGAGCTTGCCGAGCGCTCGTGCTCCAGGCCGGTCGTCTGGGGCTCGGGACCAGACACCCCGAGAGGTCCCGGGGGACATGCCCAGGCGTCTGTGTTCATTGGCCCCGCCAGGCTGCTGGGGCTCTTGCCGTGGACACGGCACCCTCCCGGACAGTAAGGTACAAAAGGTGCCCGACGCCGGCACCGTCCCCCGCGCCGCCCGGTGCAGTAGCAGGTCCACGGGACACCGCGCCGGGTGAGCAGCCCGGAGCCGGACCCGGGCGCAGATCCCAGTGCGGCCCTTCACGGGCTGTGTGGGGCCCCTGGGCTGCGGCCAGTTTCCAGTCTGTTTCCCGACGCGCGGAGGAAACCGCTGGACACGGTATGAAGTCCTTCAGTCTAGCCGCACAGATTTAAACCACATCCAACTATGCTAACGTTGCTTTGAGAAAATGTCTTTCTACAGAGGAACGTCTTTCCCTTACTCCATGTTGAGCTGTGCTGTTTACCAAGCCCCGCGCCGTATTTCAGGTGTATCTGACCTTGAAAACAAACCTGAGCTGAACAAAGTAGTTTACTGTCCGCTACATGGAGAGAAGAAACACCGCTGAGATGCCCCATCAGAATGGGACGGCAGTGGGACTGCAGGGACCCCAGAGCTAGCGGTTTGCAACCTGCAGGTTAGTCTGTTTAATGGTCTGCAGGTTCTGGGCCACCTCTGGCCCTTGAACAGCTGGCTGCTTTGTGCATTGTTCACTTAATATTTTAAGAGTAGACAATTAGGGGCGCCTGGGTGGCTCAGTGGGTTAGGCCTCTGCCTTGAGCTCGGGTCATGATCTCAGGGTCCTGGGATGGAGCCCCAAATCTGGCTCTCTGCTCAGCATGGAGCCTGCTTCCTCCTCTCTCTCTGCCTGCCTCTCTGCCTGCCTCTCTGCCTACTTGTGATCTCTCTCTTTCTCTCTCTCTCTCTCTGTCAAATAAATAAATAAATAAATCTTTTAACAAAAAAAAAAAAAAAAGAGTAGACACTTAGATTCTTATTATAAAGGAATTGTTTCCTAGCCAAAAGGATTAAGATTTTGGGCATGTTTTGGTATTCTATATACAATAAATCACACTGCTTTCGTAGTCAAGATAACCTGTCTACAGACTCACTCTGCTGTGCGCCAACAACCTGCTAAATCGTTTAATGTCTCTGAGCCTGTTTCTTCAGAAAACAAAAGTTGACTTTCAACTTTGACTTATTTTTTTAATAACCCTACGAAAAACAGCAATACATTTACCAATCAGCTTGATTTTTAAGGAAATCTCCCTGTACATTATTTTCAAGCTAATAATAAAATATTCACAGTTCTTTACTAGTTATCAGAGTATATGTTCAGGACTTTGATCCTGTAGCCACAGAAAAGCCAACACTTTCTTTTTTTCCCTTAATTTAATAGCTCTTGTCAAAAATGATTCTAGAAACATTTCTTCAAATTTCACCTGCTGATCCCAGCAACTCTGTAAAGACAAGCTGAGGACGGGTTATACAGCATATTTTTTTCTTGTAGAAACGAGGCTCAGAGAGTTTAAGAGACTTGTCCCCTATAGGAACTAGGAAGTACCAGAGCCGGGATGGGGGTCCTGGTTTCCCTCTGTTACAGCCCAGCTCCACGCCTGCCACCCCAAGGGCACTGGCCCTCCCGGAAGACAGACTGGAACACTAACATGCGGTCATGTAACCTGGGATCCCAGGTTAGTGACAGAACTACCCATGACAGCCCGGCTGCCCACAGTGGGCAGCAGAATAAAAACCCACAGTGGGCAGCAGAATAAAAACCAATGGTGTCACCCTTACGATCCCGGGACAGTGCAGGTCATGTCCAGACATGCGTTACCTGGAGCTGCTGGGCGGGCCGGCCCCGTGGCTCATGGGAAGCATGCCGGTGTGGGCAGGGGTCCCAAGGCTGGGCCAGCTCTCGTGGGATTGGAGCATGGACAAACACGGCGATGGATTGTCAGAATAGGCTGCGAGTATAAAAAAGCGTCATTAGTGGGGCGGGCGGGCTTCCAAGAGTGTCAGGATGCAGCGAAACACTAGCAACAAGTGGAGCTACCCCGCACTGGAGACAGAAGGGGTGCGGCATGGAACAGAAGGCTGTCCAGCCCGCCTGGAGGCTCCGTCGGGGAAGCTGCTGCCTTTGGCTCTGGTCATGATGCCACTAGGATTGGTTCCGCATCGAGCCCCCTGCTCGGCCAGGAGCCTGCTTCTCCCTCTCCCTCTGCCTGCTGCCCCCCTGCTTGTGCTCTCGCTCTCTCTCAAATGAATAAGTAATTTTTTTTAGAAAAAAAAAAAAAAGACTATCCATTGGCCCATTTAATTGGTCATCAAAGGCAAATAATTATGGTCAAATGTATATATTAGATAATAAATTCCAGTAAACCCAAGCTTTTTCTTTATCTTCACATCAACAGATGCCTTGTAGAAAAGGAATCCTACGATCACTTGATTGGGAATTAATTATCTTTAAAAATAAACATAAATATAACTTTAACCTGCCTTTTCCCAAATTTTTATTTCTTAAGAGATGAAAAGATCTTGGGGCACCTGGGTGGCTCAGTGGGTTAAAGCCTCTGCCTTCGGCTCAGGTCATGATCTCAGGGTCCTGGGATCGAGTCCCACATCGGGCTCTCTGCTCAGCAGGGAGCCTGCTTCCCCCCCCCCGCCACTTCTCTGCCAGCCTTTCTGCCTACTTGTGATCTCTGTCTGTCAAATAAACAAATAAAATCTTTAAAAAAGAGAGAGAGAGAGATGAAAAGATCTTAAAAACCATTATTCTGGGCAAAACGAAAATATGATCTTCTAGCCTCAGAGTCTAGCCGCTGGTTGAACAAGACCCCATGACCGTTTCTTTACCAAATCAGCTCCTTTCATTTCAAATCAGCTTTAATTGCTTAATTGTTTTATGGTGTTCATTAGCTATGTTCCTCCTTTTAAAGCCAGACAAAATTAAGTCTGGGCATACGTGGTGTTAGAGGAAGTTAGACAAATGGATCTTAATGGTCTGGCCCTGTGTTCATCGTCTGTAAGCACACATCGGGCTCCTGGGGCCGCTCATTGGGTACGCCTGGGCCAGGTTCGAGGTGACGCCTCTGCTGGTCCAGGCACCATACATGGAGAAACAAACTTAGGGGATCAGTGGGAGAATCACGGACGATCGTGCAGGGGTCTAGCCAGTAACTCTTACACCTGGTGGACCCAACATCATCACTTTGGAGAGGTTCATGGGTACCTAGAGACAGACCCACAGTTCTGGGGTGGAAAAGTTCCAGCAGTAACAGTGCATTCAGAACCACAAGCCCCTGGCCTGGACCTCATGGGGGCTGAGCCAGCAGCAATGGCATGGACCTGAAACAAAGGTCCCTCTCGAGCCACGGAAGACCTGGCCTGGGTGTGTGTTCCAGAAGAGGTCCTCCCCCGCCCCCGGATCGCTGGAGTCCGTCCTACAGATGCCTTCCTGCACAGTGCTCTTCCATCCACCCCCAAACCCAGGCCGACTTCGACGTAAGACTTACTTGGAGAATTATTCCGGTGTGCGTAAGGGCTGGGGTAGGGGGTTGGCCGGTGGTTCCTGAGGGCAGGGTACCTTTCACAGCCGTGCGTGGAGGGAAGAGAGAGGGGCCCTCCGAACTGAGGGTGGGGGGTGGCGGGTGGGCACAGGCTGCTGGTTCCAGGGATGAGCCAACCCCCTGCTGTGAGAAAAGAATGCTGAGTAACTGGCATTTGCGTTGCCTCCATCTGTTTAAAGGATGGACATGAGAGCTGAGACTAGGAATCTGGGGGTCTCTTCCTGAGGGGTCCCCGACCAAGTGAGGTCTCCTAGTCCAAGTCTTAAGGCATCTGGGCTTCAGCTCCACAGCAGAGGCCACAGGTTGACAGGATTTCCAAACCCACAGAGCACCTGAGAAGAGCTGGGGACCCCAGTCGTGGCCAACGACTACTGCTTCCTCAACCCTCTTTCTCAAACCTGCCAGAATCTTCCCAGGCCCGTCAGCTTCCAAGCCCTAACTGCTGAGCATGAGAAAACCCAGAAACATGAAATTCAGAGCCAGATGAGCTCGAGACACACAGGGCTGAGTCACGCCCATGGTGCCCCCAGCCTCCATTCAGCTGCTCCGACCACCTCCCCAGGACGGGGAGCTGTGTCCTGGCTGGACGTGTGCTGTTTTCTGCCCACTTTCCTTCTGCTTTAGGCTCACCTTCTCCCCACTGTGCATGTCTGCCAGAAAATCATTCTGACGCCACCCCGCCCACCTCTCACACTCCAATCTCTTCTCTAATCACTGCTTTTAAGTTTATTGTTGTTGTTGCTTTAAATTCAGAAAAGTAACCCCCAAGAGGACAACTACTCTGGCTGTAATTTCTGACAAACAACCTTCAGACAACATTGAAATGAGGGAAAGGTCCGGATCTGCCCACAAAGCCTCCCCTCTTCACGTGCCAGAATGATGGCACCCCAAGCCCCTTCAGGGGAGCTGTTGGTTAAATTAGTGCAACAGACGATTAACGGACAGAGAACGGAAAACGAGTGTCGGCGGAAGGTGCCGTTCTGGTCCCCACTGCCTCTGCAGGCGGCGGCGAGCCCTGACTCTCTCCCGATCATGTCAGTCGTCCAGGCTCCAAGCCCCTTCCCTGCATGGAGAGGGCAGCCACACGGGACTCTGTCTCCTACAGACGCTGCCCCACAGACCTGCACCACTTTGCTCCGGCTCATGGAACTCGGAAAGGAAGCTGGACTTACAGCACTTTCCCCATCCTGCATGCCACTGTTCCCACCACCAAAACCAGCCAGAGCTGCTGGGCCACTCCTGGAACTGAAATGGGCTTCGGGAGAAGCCCCATCTGCTCATAAGCATCGTTCCAAAGACGGCCCTTCAGTCCACCACCATTAACCCAGACAGAAACCATCTCCAAGTGCGGACGGTGAGGGGCTTCTCCCTCAGTCCGACAGAGCAGAGTCTAACCCCCACCAAGACCTCCACACTCCAACCCAGCCATGGTGGAGTCTGCCTGGAAGCTGAACAACAGAGCCTGGGGGGATTGTCCCCTGCCTTCTCCATCCCACGTGCCAGAAGCGCATTCACAACCCTCAGGGAGAGCAGAGGGTGAGTGGAGACCAGCCCTAACACAGCTCCAACATCACGCGCCCACGGAGGGCCACCTGCCCCCCAGCCAGAAACATGCTCTCGCCTGCATCCCCAGGTCTGGCTCTCAGCAGCCTGGTCCTGGAAGCAAGGGACGTGGGGACAGAGTGCAACAAACCGTACATTGGGAGTACCCGGACTGCTGGCTGTCTCCAGGTTCCTCCATCATATCTTTGTGATCACTTCTGTCAAAAAAGTGTAGAGTCGTCAAAAAGGAGAACATTCAGAAAATCGGATTTGCAGCAATATCTCTCCTTACTGTGTGTTTCTTTGCCCAAAGGGTAGAGAATTCTCTCACCTTTCCTTTGCATCAAGGAAAGCTTTTGCAAATGGATTGTATTTAATTTTAAGAGCCGTGATCTGAAAAACAAGAAACCACATTGACTGGTACACTGTCCATCAGCCAGACGATTTGATTTGGTCCTGAGAAATAGGGAAACATCAGTACCCTCCCACCCCCGCCCCCTTTAAATATTCAAACATAATCAGACTTCCTTCCAGATCTATTTTTCTATTTGGGTCTGAAGTGGCTCAGTAATTGTCATACTTCTCAAAGAACAGTACATTTATGGAAGTTCCTCAATGCTGCTTTTCTGAGTGGAATTCACAGTGAGTTCAACCTACTGCTGACGACATTCTCTGTGCATAGATCAAACAAACATGGCTCAAAGCATCACCAGAATTGGCTTAGGAAATAGCTCAACACTGACAACTTAACCAGCGAGTCACAAAATGTCTGTCCTTTGGGGTCAGACTTAGAGATGTACAGGCATGAACTGGGATTTTGTGTGTAGCTGCCCCTTCCGTTTGTAGGACCCTCCATGCTGCCCAGGTTTGCAGGGTTGCCCCCTACCCCTACCCTTCCGGGAAGATCTCCAAAGATTTCCTCTCTCCTTCAACTTGTTCTTAAGAAATTCTCACAGTATTAACCTAAATATTTGTTTTTTTTTACTTGGAGCATTTAATAGATGGTTCTTATTTTATAGACAGGTTTACAGAGGATTAAAGGAGAAACAGGTGAACAAGCACTTATCAGAACTTCTTCCCTCCGTCCCAGTCTGATGGTGATAGCAGATTACTTGAAAAGGCGAAACTTTTCAGTCTAAAGTCCACCAACACACAGGCTGTCTGCATTCTTCGCGACCTCCCAGGGCACATGCCACCCCGCCGCTCACCTCCTCGTTCTGGTAAGCGGTCACGGCGATGAACTGTGTCTCAGGGAAGCAGTGGCTGGTGATCATCCGCTGTGCGCCCCCTACTCTCACTATGTGGATCCGGGGCTCGTACTTGTGTAAGGAGTTCAACATGATCTGCGGGAAGCCCACGGACAAGACCGTCAGATCACAGGACGTCCATCTGCCCTGCTGCTGAGGACAGAAACACATCCAAGGAGCAGCAGACGCCGTCGCTCACAAGGAAGTGTCTTTGCTGCTGAGGCTGGTGGGTTTCCCTCCAGGTGCCGCTTCCCACGACTGGTTTAGGAAAAGGAGTGTGAGGTGCTCCACACCGTGAAAGGCAATGAATGCCCATCGTGAGATCCTTTGACCTGCTGCATTAATGTTCTGAAGCTCCCAGCACGGCTAGAGGCGCTTTAAAAGCCAGAGCTGGTTTGCGCTTTGCTTAAACATGGGGTCTCCCAGTAAAAACGCCCCAGTAAAGCCACCCTTAGAAGAGGACAAATCTACAAGTCTGTTCAGACCACGCAGCAAACACCGTGGTGCAGGTTGAGCCTGAAAGTGCCCCTTGAACACCAAGGCTGCTCTTTTGTCTGCCCCTAGGGAAGCTGTAGGCTTCAATGCGCAAGTTCCAAAGCCTGAGACCCCCTGAGTCTCCAAAGGTGAAGCTCAGCACCGCCCCCCGGCCCAGCTCCTCACCCTGGTGCTGCCGTCATCAGGTTACTATAAACAACACTGATGGCTTAACAGAAGAAGGCTGTGATGTTTCTCCCAAACAGATGTCACCTCCCGCTCAAGCACAGTCCCCTCCGCCATGAGGAAGGTGCAGACCCAGCCTGCTGGGCACTGTCCCCGGCCCCCCGCCATCCCCCAGCCCCCGCCCATCCCCTCCACCACTACCCCCTCCATTACACCCACCTGACCCCCTCCGTTGAGTTTGTTGGTGAGCTTGACTTTGCTGAAGGAGACCGGCGCCTTCATCCAGTGGGCCCCAAAGTTGGGGGAGTCCGGGTGGATATAGACGCAGCTGGGCGCCTGCGGCTCGGGCTTGCCCCCGGGGACCCACTCTCCGTTCACATACTTCCAGCGGTGGTTGTCCGCAGCCACAAAGTCCAGCAAGAAGGAGTACATGGCGTTGGGGTCCAGGCCAGACACGTTCACCTTCAGCACGGGGAACATCCTCCTGCAAAGGAAGGGGGGCAGCCGGCGGACCCCGTGTCTGAGGCTTTAGACCTTTAGATGTAAGGCAGGAAGCTTGGGACAGAGGCATCTGTCATTTGGGGGCAAGGAAAAGCCCCCCAGTACCCCCTCCCAGAGTCCCCCTAAGTCCCCAGCGTCCTCCACACTATCCCATGGCCCCGGGAGGCAGGGTCTGAAAGCACCGAGCCGAGGGTTCCCGCGAGCAGACAGGGCACGGGTCTGGGAGACTTCTCCCAAACTTCCACGGAGAAAGCCCCAGAGAGTGACAATTAGGGGACGACGCTGGGCTCTGTCGCCGAGAGAGAAAGGAGCAAGAACACCCCCACTAGGAGAAAACCGTCCGGCGGGGAACTTTCCCCCAGGCCTCCCCAGGCCGAGCGCACGCCCATCTCCGGGCGCGCCTACCTGCCGTTCTTGGTCACGATCATCTCGTTGGTGAGCTCCTTGAAGCGCAGCCACAGCTCGCTCTCCTCCAGCCCCACGCGCAGCTCGCGCTCCGTGGGGTCGCCCTTCTCGCTGCCCGCCTGCAGCTCGCTCTCCACGGCGCTCAGCAGGTGGTCCACTCGGTACGGCAGGCTCTTCCCCGCACTCTCGGCGCCCGGGGCGCTCATCCTCCCGCCCGCCCCTCCCCACCGCCCCCGGAGCCCGACTCGCTACGCGAGAGCCACCTTCACGCCGGTCAGCGGCCGCTTTCCCGAGACGGCGCGGGGGCTCCCAGCACTGGCCACAGAGGAGGGCGCGGACCGAGATCTGGGGGGGAGGGGCGGGGAGAGGGGTGAGGGGGGAAGTGACTCCACTTGAACTCCCGCGAGGCACAGCTAGAGGAGGTCTCTGGGGCCAGAAACTGCGTCCCCTCCCATAAATAGAGCAGCGGCGGCCGCGGAGGGGGCCGGCGGATTGGGCCGCGCGCCCTTTGAAGTGCGGGGACAGCTGCCCATTGGCCGCGCGCGGCCATTTCAGACCCGGCCGGCGGGCTGGGGCGCCCGGGGGCCGACAATGGGCTCCCGCGCCTGTTTCATGCAAATCCCGAGCCGGGCCCCGCGCGCCCCGGCCCAGCCCCGACACCTCCGCCCTCCCCCAAATGTTTGCACCTCCATCAAAGCGGCGGGGCGGGCCGCGGGCGCGGGGGTGGTGGAGGAGCCGGGCGCCCGAGCTCGCCCCGGCCCGCACGTCCCCGAGGGGCAGCCTGGCCGCCGGCGACGCGCCCCAGCTCTCGCACCGGTGCCAGCCTGGACCGCACCGCGGGCTCACCTGCGCCCGGCCGGAGGCCCTCCGCGCCCCGCCCGCGCACGGCGAGCCCAGCCCCGCGGAAGGGCGCGCCCTGTCCGCTTCGCCCGGGTCCCGCGGGTCTCGCTCCTTTGAAGGCTCAGCGCTCCACCGCGCGGAGTCCCGTCCCGACACGTCCCTCGCCCCGCGGCGCTGCAGGTGGCTGCGCTAACACCCGTCCAGCCCACCCCGGCGCCCCCCCTCCCCGGTTCTCGCGCCTTCGCCGGTGTGGAAGGGGGAGCCCCGCGCCCGGAGTCTCTGCCCGAGGCTGAGCTCCGCGCCCGCAGTGGGAAATACTCAAAATTCAACCAAAAGAGTCCTTTTAGGAAGTTTTCCCGCTTCCCGTAGGAAAACAGGACGTTGATGACGAGGTTTGCGTGGCTTCTGTGGGCTGATCTCTGTTTCTGTGGAAGGTGGGAGTGAGCAGGGGCTGGCCAGGGTGCTCTCGGGAGAGCAGGGTCTGGGGTGCGCCTCCCTGCCAGGCTGGCTGGCCGCCCCGCCTCGCGGTGTGGGGAGCGGGTGGTTTATTACCTTTCGGTGAGAACCTCCGCGGGGAGAGCGAAGGAAAGGTGACAATGAGCAGGAAATAGTTCAATAAGGTCTCTTTAAACAATAACATTTCTCCCAAAACTGGAGCCCAGGATGAGAAGAGGAAGCAGAAGCTCCGAGCGCTGGCCACGAGCCTCGGAAGCCCTTGCCCACCACTCTAGCCCGAGCGTGTGGTTCCAGACTGTTTCCCGGTCTTCTTCGCACGCACCCCACCCCCGCACCCTATGGGAACCGCCAGTGCATGGGGTGAAGCGCCCCATTTAGAACAGCCCTGCGCCCTAGCTAGGGGGTCTTCCGGAAGGACTTGGAATGTGCGCCGGGGCTACCCCTTTCCTGCCTGCGCCTGGCGCTCCAAGCCGCGGGAGGGATCCCGGCCGGGGGGCAGACGACCCCCGGCCTCTGCTTCCGGGAGCCAGCGCAAGGATTAAGGGTCTGGTGCCCCCCCCCCCCCCCCCACCAGCTGGAGTAAGGATGTTCCAGGGCTGATTTTGCGCCCCTTTCCAAATGGGTACTGAAAGTCTGGAAGCCCAGCACGCCTTGATACTATCGACATTTCTCAGTTTCTTTTGTTGTCTCAGATGCCTGGGATACCCAAGGGGATGACCGGAGTGGGGAGTTTTTCTTCTGGAAAGAGGCACCAAAAGGACTTCATTTGCCCCTGACACCCAGACCCTCCTGAGTCGCCCTCCATCCGACTCTTCTGGCCACGGGGATTTGGAGGACTTGTGAGTGCATCTTTCCTAAGAGAATAAAAGTGTCTCAAAGATCATTTCCCTGGCCTCAGACAGCCTGAGCTCCCACACTTGGAGGAAAGGTGAAAGGCTGGGTGTGAGGGGGGTGGGGGAGGAAGGGTGGGTCGCCAGTGGAGATGGTGGGTCTCCAAAACCTAGGTGGGAACGGAGGCATCCAATGCTCCCTGCCCTAAGGCTCCAGCTCTCTCTCCCTGACCGTCCTGGGGTTGTTTCCCCAAAGTCCAAAAGAGCTCACCAATGCCAGAGAGCTTTCGGATCCATCCAGAACGCTGGCTCTGACCTCAGCGGGCCCCCTAACAGCAGTGAGCACCACCAAATAAGGACAAAAGCCCAGGGAAAGAAAGTTAAATTTCAAACGTTTGCAACGACATTTTTACCCTCCACAAATAAAGTCCAAAGTGTCCAAGGACACCACCCAGAGAGGTAGCCCCACTTGCTGGCAGAACTAGAGGCTGGGAGTTACTGACTTTGCGTCCCTCTGGGGCTCTCCTGGCCTCCCTACCTATTCTTCCCCCACCTTTCTCTGCCTCATTTTCTGAATCTTTGTTCCTTGGTTCTCAGGACAAGCATCTCCACTCTCCAGGCTTTTCAGTGAAGGCTGTGGTGCATGACAGTTTACAGCCAAAAACTTCCTCAGGCCCAGCTGTAAAGGATTCCCAGTTAATAACAATGTGCCTCCTTGGTGGGGAGGAAGCACTTTTGGCTGTTTCTCTCCCAAGGTCTGCCTCTGCTTGGGAAGCCCAGCTATTGGAGTAAAAGGTCCTATGGCTGGGCCTCAGGATGCAAAGGGTCACCCCCAAAATAACTTAATGAACACTTTATAAGAAATCTCTCTAGCGTGCGCGCACACACACACACACACACACACACCTCAGTTCCCATAGAGGCAGTTTCCCCCAGCTCCCACCCTTCCCAAGCAACAAAACCATTTGTCTTTTAGGAGAAGGCATCGATGATGCCCCAACAGGCTCAAGGCCAGTGGGCACGGGGGACAGCATTGTGGGAGCCTTCTTTTCTGGGAGAAAAACTACATTTTTTTTCTGACTATATGCTTTGTGCTCAGTGTGGAATATAATATGTATTATGCATACAGGAAATGTGTGTGTGTGAACATAGAAACCTCAAGCATTAATCACAGCCCACATTTTGGTGGATTTTCCTCACCTTTGTTCATTCCATCCTTCTCTGGGGCTCAGTCTCCCTCACCGGTGAAGCAGAGTTTTGCCAAAAGCATTGGCAAGTCCTAAAATGTAAGAAGGGTGCTTCCCAGCAAACCGTTTCTGTCCCCAGTTGGTCTGTTTGTCTCCCCCATTGAAAGAAACCTAGTTCGTTTTAGTATGGCTTTTAAAGTTGATTTTGTAATTCTGTGGACTCCTCACCATTAAAAAATATTTTTGAGGCTGTTGGGTTGTTTGGGGGCACCTCTGGCTTGTGGAAAAGACACAGGTATGTTTTTCCCGAGTGCATGTGGCTGTTCCCATGGCTGAGGCCACTGTCCTGCGGCCACAGGCAGCCAGGCCTCCGGGCCTGAGCTCTGGCTTGCTCTCCGGGGCGCAGGCATGGATGACTGTCCGCTGAAACGCACTCCGAAACCAAATCCGTCCTCACTAGACATTCTGTGTGCTTTGTGGTGCAAGACAGCATACGGTTTCCTGACAGAGTTCACACATTAAAGACAAACACACGCGCGCGGCGGGAGAGGCTCAGGCCTGGGACGGTCCCAGGGCCCCTTCAGACCACAGAGCTGTCGCTCCCGTCCCTTTGGATTCAAGGCTGTAGAGCAGAGCTCGGGGGGCAGCCGGGCTGCGGCCCATCTGAGGGCGGGGACCTTGACCATCTTCCGTGTGGACACTTAACATTGTCTATCCCTGTCTCCGTGCCTTGATTCCCCTTGAATGCAGGGGAAGCCCTTCCGCGGTCTGTCCGGCTGTGGTCCGGATTGCAGTGACTGTCCCAGTCGTCCAGTCATCCTCAGGAGCTCCTGGCGTCCAGATCTGGCCCCGGTCTTGCTCCTGTGGCCGTGGCTCCTAGTCTTTCTGCGCTTATGAAGTGGCTCGTGATGTGTCCATTGGCCTCTGTCCTTCTGATTCTAGTGCCTCTGATGGGGAGCTCACTCCTGTGGCAGCCCCCATCCCATCCAGGACCCGGTCATGGCCGCACTGGCCTCTGGGTCAGTCTTGCTCCCTGAGGCTCTGTTCCTGTTTCCCACAGGCCACGGCTCTCCGGGCCTCCCTGAGAAGGCCCCGAGGTCTGCTGGGCTTGTCATCTGGTTCCTGTAGTTCACTCTCTCCTGAAGCTGCTTTTCTTCCGATCCTTACAGATAATCTCATCGCCCTCATCCGGCTCACTCCCCCCAAACAGCGCGGCTGGCGGCTGCTTTCCGTGGACCGGGGGTCGTGGACGTCCCCTCACAGCGGCACTGCGAAGACAGGCGAGCCGCAGGCTCTGACTCAGTTGCTGTGAAACCAGCCCTTGGCCCGTGGGGGGGGCTCGGCAGGTCCTCACCGAGGGATGGGCTTGGCAAAATTGAAATGCGGCCTGGAGTGTGTCTCTAAGGAGAAGCAGGAGCCGCGGATCCCGTATCCACCTGCACGTGGTCGGGAACGTTCTCCCACACGGGGACTCAGTGTTCATCCTTCCCACTTACGAACACGTCCGAGCCGCGGAACCAGACAGGCTCACGGATTCAGTCCGTGGTTTCGAAGACGTTAAAGGCGGGATTCCCTGTGGACATTGTGTATAAGACGAGGCCCAAAGGATGAACAGAAACGAACTCTCCCAAAGGAAGCGGTGAGTGTGCGGGCATGGCAGCCTCCCTCCAGGCTGAAAATTACTCCAGAAATCCTGGTGGGAGACTCCGCGTAACCATCTAAGTCATGATCACACGCGCAGCACGGCGACGTCATGACCACACACAGCAGGACGGGACCTTCTTTCTCCTTTCTTTATACCTTCTCTATACCTGCACCTAGATTTTGGAAAGTCCCGTGTTAGTGCCAAATGAAATACGAAGAGTCAGATCTATTCTCTGGTAGAAAAGGATGTTGGGAATGATGCAGGTTGAAGGGCCCACCCCTGACCAGCTCTGGTTTCCATCGTCGCTCCTCAGCAGGAAGGGTGGACATTAGGTCCAGAATCCTGACGGGTGGTGATCGTTGCTCCAACAAAGTCTGGTGCAGCTAAGAGCTCACAGACTGGACGTCCGTGTGAGGGGGCAGCAGCAGCCTCCGGGTGCGGACCCCAGGGGCAGGCCACACGTGGGATTGGAGGACACGCAGAGACACGGAGACCTGAGGAAGGCAGAGAGCATCCGGGATGTTCTGTGCTGATTCTGGAGCCATGGTGAGGACAGCAGCTAAGAGAGAGTGGCCTTTTCATGACAGCAGAGATTCGAAGACACACTCCCTGACCTAGGAAGGCCAACCCGGTAGGACATTTGTTGAGACAGATGTGCTATGGGTGTGATATGGGAAGAGAAAGGGGGCAGCGGGCAGAGAGGTATGGGAGTGAGGTCCCAAGCAGACTGCTTGAAGGGAGTGGGCTTTCAGCATCTTCAAGAATAGCTGGGAAGATCCTGAGAAGATCTGCAGAGTGGACTGGCAATGAGTGGGGCACTTCCAGGGGGATCCTATAGAAATTCCCATAAATACACAGATGAACACAAAAAATGAACAAAGAAGACTGAGACAACAATCAAATTGTAAGAATGGTTTGAGGGTAGCTAATCCAGGAGCAGGAGAGAGAAGACAAAGGCAGAGCCAGGCAGGCCCACTCCGGAGGACAGAGGATAAAAGTGCCGGAGGGGAGCTAGCCTGGCTCCCGTGTCTGGTTGGAAGGATGGGGAGGGAGGAGCTAAGGTGGGAGCTCCGTCCATGTCCGGGACCAGACTGATAGTAAAAATGGGGCCACAGGAGGGCTTGGCAGGGCTGTGAGGAGAGATTCTCAGTCAGTGGTCTATTTGGAAATGAGAATTGGCACATTATACATACACGGGAACTCACACAGCTGGCGGGCTCCTGCCACCCCCCGCCCCTGCTCACCGGTAGGAGCTGTTAGCCTTTGCCGAGGTCTCTTGCACACAAGGAATGGTCCACAGCATCCTCTGGGCACCAGCCCTGCGGGGGGTCAGAGCCCGGCTTGTATGTCCAGGTAGCTAAGGCCCCCCGACAGAGGAGAAACAGAGCAGCACACGGGTTCCTGACTTCTCTTGTTTTAAACTCACCGTGTTTCCCCTAGACCAGCTTCCATACACTGCAAGCGGGAATAAAGGCAACTTTCCCCCTTTCGCCCACCACAGGCACATGGCCAGGCCTAGAGGGGGACCGGTGTGTGTGTGTGTGTGTGTGTGTGTGTGTGTGTGTGTGTGTGGAGGGGGAACAGGTTGGCTTAAATACTTTTAAATCTGAAACAAACTTTAATCATATGAAGGATGACAATAGGCTGGGAGGTGAAGGGCGAAAATCTCATTCCTTAACTTGCCACCCAGGCAGAGAGGTTGGAAACCAGAGGCGAGCTCACAGCCGATACCTTCTCCTCGCCGCCTTTCTGCAGAAGCCCGTAGTAGTCCATGCTGTTCTCTCCCCCTCCGAAAAGCTGGCCATAGTAAAGTTAATGCAGATCTGGGAGGTGAAGAAGGTCCCCAGGGTCAGGCAGGGAGAGTTCCAAGTTATGCCAGAGATCTACAGTAATTCCAAAACGGAGTAGGAAGACTCAAGTCATGTTCCTAATCTTTTACTGACTCAGTCAACGCTTGTCCACTTGCCGCCTACCTTCTGGCCATCGTCCTTACCCCAGAGGAAGGCTTTGCAAGCACCACGCCACTACGAGATCTTCTTCACGGGGTGTGGGAGGGGGTCGTGAGATTGAAGGCCGTGAAGGAAACTCATACAGACCTCTCTGCCACAGTCTGAGTGCAGCTAGATGCAGTCATGGGTTTCTCATGTTTGGGACAAAACAAAACTGTGTTAAAATTTAAAAACCCAATTAAAACTCCAATATGTGGGAATTTTGTTATTTTTTACAACAGGCAATAATGTGAGTCATCAGTTGGCTAGTTGGCCAGAGAATCGGATTAAAGATCAGGTAAATTATGGCCTTCAAGTGAGAAAATCGTTTGACACCTGTAGCCTGTAGCCCGAGTTTCTGTCACCATTTATAACGCAGATACGCGGGTTCCGAGGAAAGGCCTGGGGAGGTTAACAAGATGCCATTCGGAATCGGTTTCATTTCCAGTTGTGCGCCGAGGTGGCAAAGGTCCTCCTAAAATCGATGGGCTCAGTGTCCAACACAGGGCCACAGTTTGTTCCTTAAGTCTTTGGAAAATGAGCACTCCTGTTACCAGACCTACAGGAGACTGAGGTCTACAGGACGGCGAGGTGCGGAGTGGTGTCGTTATAAAAAGAGTGCTCACACAAACACCGTCCATTACAAAAAATGCAACAAACATATTGAACCACTGATCACCTATTTGCCATAATCCTTTCTTAAAATATTAAATCCAATCTAGCAAATTCTTTACGTGCATTTGGCTTCCTTATCCGTTTACCCGTACACGAGCATCTTGCCCCTATAGTCTGTTTTCAACACAACAGTCAAAATAAACTCGTCTTCCATGTCCGTCCTTAGCCCGACACTTCTGGACAGCAAGGCTCCGTGCTGGCATGCTGGGCAATGACTCTCTACAGAGACAGCCTTCAAGCTCATGGCCAAGAAGGCTGTTGCTGAAATCACAGAATGGGAGGCTTCACAGACCAAATGAAGAGACTCAAATGACAAGGTTTAGTGAATCAACTGGAGACACAGCACGAGAAGCCGAGGAAAGGAAATGGGGCAGATCGGTTCACGTGGGCAGGAGACCCCCACTATCTGGGCCCAGGTATATGGCTCTCTTGGCTCTAACATGTTCCCAGTGATGGTGTGGAGATGAGGACCAGCCCTGAGGCTGAGCAAACCAGCTCAGCAGATGTCCAGAGAGTAAATCCGATGGCGAACCTTCCTGGATTCGCGACCCAGCATCAGCAAGACACACTTGTGGGGGCTCCTGTTTCATCGGACCCGTCACCCCATCTCCTCCACCTACAGCTCACTCTGAAGGGAATTCCAGACGTCAGATCTGCCTCTGTAAAAGAAGGATTGCAGTGTGTATCCCTGAAAGATAGGGTTCTTTTTAGTTAAAACTAACCCTAATACCATTCTCAAACCTAAAAAAGAATTCCTTAATATCATCAAAAATCTAGTCAGTGCTTGGGGCACCTGAATGGTGCAGTTAAGCATCCAACTTTTTGTTTCAGGTCAGGTCATGATCTCAGGGTCCTGAGATCGAGCCCCATGTTGGGCTCTGCTCAGCACGGAGCCTGCTTAAGATTCACTTTCTCCCCCTCTCCCTCTGCCCCTCCTACATGTGCTCTCTCTCTCTAAAATAAATAAATAAGTCTTTTTAAAAAAATCTAGTCAGTGTTCAGATTTCCCTGTTGGTCTCATGAGTTCATGAGAAAATTCTTACATGTATCTTTTGATGCCCTGGTGCAAGAGTGTGCACAGCTGGATTATAAACCTAGAAAAGGAATTTCCAGGTAATGTCTTCCTTCAGTGTTTCTAGAATATCTGAATTGTTGTCTAAAGACGTTACACCAACTGTGTATACCACCTACAGGAAGTGAGTTTCCACTCGCTTTGTAGCTTGCTCAATAGTGGATATTGTTAGATCTTATCATTTTCCCCATCTGTTAGGTAGAAAAAGAATGTTATGGTTTCAAATTGCATTTTCCTGATTACTAAGGATTTTTAGTATCTTGTTGAATCTTCTTTTTTAAATTCAAGTATAGTAGTCATTTTTAAATGCCGGTACCAATCATTGTCGATTTTACTAAGAGCAAACATTCTCCCACTCTGTGACTAGACTGTTCTGTCCTTGATGATGTCTTTTAGTGAAAAAAAAAAAAAAATCCCCATGTCAACATGGTCAAATTTATCACACTGTTCTTTCCATTTTACAGTCTTTGCACCTTTAAGAGAGCCATTCCTACCCCCAAGATAGTCTCCCATATTCTTAAAGTTTCATAGTCCTCTCTTTTACATTTAGGACTTTAACCCACATAGAATTGACTTCTGTGCATGAGATGAGACAGAGATCCATTCTCAATGGAGAAAACCAATCGTCCAAGCACCATTTGCTAAACCATCCACTGTCTCACCAAAGATCGGCAACAAATCTACCATGATAGTTTCCGTTCTGGACATGATTTTGGAGTCTGACTTTTAATGCTGGGCTCTTTATTCTAGTTCACGGATGCTTTTATCCACCTTGAACCAATAAACATCCATTTAAGTTGCTGTAAAACCTGAAATCAGGGCCCGAGGTCTTACAGAACAAGCCCAAGCTTACTATCTTCTGTTCTCAGTGTGACCCACCTGTTCCAACCAGTAGCTCCTCCACACAAACTTCAGAATTAGTTTGTCAAATTCGATGAAAAATTACTGAAATTGCATTAAATCTAAAAACCAGATTGAGGAGAACTCACACCATTTAAATATGTGGTATTTCTATTCAAAAGCAAAATGGCTCCTTTTACGTAGATCTTTTTAAATGTCTCTCAAAGAAGTTTTATGCTTTTTTTCACAAAGGGCTCACACATACTTTTTCCAAATTAACTCCTAGGTAATTAACTTTTATTGCTACCTTAAATGTAATCTTAAAAAAATTATTTTATAAAATAATAAAATTTTTATAGTTTTTATGTAGACCCTTCATCTCATTATAAAATTTCATATAAATCTCATACAGAATCTCATTATAAAGCAAACACTTAGTAACTACCACTAAGGTCAAGAAATAGGCCATTTCCAGCATCCAAGTTCCCTTCCCCATCAAGAGTCCCTCTACCCCTTTTAAAGTTAAGCATTTTCCAGAAATGTATGATACCTTTTTGTTTTTCTATGTTCTTTGGGATTTTTCTATTACAAAAAATAGTTTTATATCTTTTGTAAACATTCTAGCTTCTCTTTCTTTTTCTTGCTTATAATACTGGTCAAACTTCCAGAACAGTCTTGACTAGAAATGAGAAGAACAAGGATCCTTCTGTTGTTTCCAGCTTCACAGAGAGGTTTCAATATCTCACCATTAAGTACATGTTTTTTACAAATATATTTTTAAGTACACTAACAAATTGAGTAATTTCCTTCTTACCCATCAATTGTGATAATTTTTATTACAAAAGAAGTTATTGAAATGAACTCCACATTAGTGGGTTAATTTGTTAATATTTTGCTTAAGACTTTTACAGCTGCACTCCTGAATGAGATCAGCCTTCTAGGTTACTCTGGGTTCACAAAAAGAGCTGGGAGATATGCCTTCCTTTCCCATTTTCTGGAGAGCACGCACAGGAATGGTGACATTATTCCTTACTTAAGTATTCAGAGAATTTACCAGTAAAACCATACAGGCCTAGGGTTTTCTCATTTTCTCTGTTAGATGGTGTTGAAATTATATACTTAATTTACTCAATAGCTAAGACTATTTAAGTATTCTACTTCTTCTGACTAAAATAATTTATAAGAATTTATTCAATGTTACTATTGAGATGTCATGTGTTTTTCTCATTGTCATTCCCCTATAATGACCTGTCCTTTCTCTCCCACTTCTTTAAGCAATGTCATTTTCCATCTGTTGCCTTTGTGGTTCCTTGGGATCCCTAAATCTGAGGATTGGTTTCTTTCATCAGTTCTGGAATTTTCAAATTTTCTCATTGACACTTTTCTCTCGATTATCCCTACTACCAGCTATAACTAAATGTATGTTGGATTTTCCTCCTAGAGCCTCTGTTTCCTTTAACCTGTTACATATCCCATCGCCTTGTTTCCCTGTGCGCTATTTTGGAAAATCCATCTTGATCTTTATATTTCAATAATTCTATCCTTGGGCATGTCTAATGTATTCTTTAACCCCCTCAATATGAATTTATATATTTATTAATTTTCCACTCTGAAAGCTCTATTTCATCCTCTCTCAAACATCTTTGATTCATTTTAAGAGTCTCCTAATGCTTGCCCATAATTTAAAAATTCTTTCTGAAATTTAACCACATACATCATACTTATGTATTTTCTCCATCTGTTAATTTCCACTATCTTGACTCCGGTGAGGCACGTTCTGCTGACTCTTTCTCCTGTCTGTTCTCATTCATGGTTCTGCATTTCCGTATGAACAATGTCACATTTACAATGAGTCTATGATTTAGTCGACGATGCTGTTGTTGCTTGTCATAACTTCGAACAAGGAAATGGAAATCTGCCATTTAATCGTTTCTCTGAGAGCTTCAGCATTTCTTCGTCCTTCCCATCATGATAGGATGTGAGTCTCATTCCTGGTCCACATAGTTGGTCCAATATCGTCTTGTTGTCCTGGCCTCCTGCAATGAAGGTAAAGGAAAAAGATATACAAACCCCAAAGGCCAAGTGCACCTACTGCCTCTTAGAACCCTAACCCTTGGCTGTTTTTTCTTATTCACCAAAGAGTTAAGAAAAAATTTACCCCCACCCTTGCCCCCGCCCCTGGGGTCATACTGGGACTCTCCTCTCTTCAGGCTGTTGACCCAACTAAACCTCAGCCCTAATCCCTGCAACCTTCATCCCCCTCCACCCAGGGAAGGTGTTCCTGCCTCTAGGCATTGCCCAGAGCTGCTCAGATTCAGAAATCCCGCTCAGCATCCTGCTCTGGCCACAGCCTCCCACCCTGCACATCTCCTGTCCTCCTTCCCACTCTAACTTTGTCTGCTTGCCTGGGGCGCTATGTCCTCTCACCCCTGGGCAGAGAAAAGACAGGAGCCAACCACAAATTGCTTGTTCCAGAGTCAGAGGTAATGGGGTCATCCTGGGAGGAGCAAGTGTCCCCTTCTTGTGTTCTGGAAGCTTAATCCTAAAGGAAGAGAACAAGAGACAGAGAAACTTGATGACCGTATTTATTTTTGCCTACACGTGAATCTTAAAATGGTATTAATACTAGTGTATATTGTTTTCTGCAAATATAAGATTTTTTTCCACTTCATTGAACTTCATAACATCAAACACTTTTGGATCATTTTAAAGACCTTTGGAACCGCCTTTAAAACCTAATTTAAAAAAACAACACCCTATGAATCCCTTCTCTGAGAACAATCAAATGTGCATAATCATATACAATATATTTTAAGTATTTTTATACCCCACCAAGCTTATGAATCGTATGTTAAACACCAAAATCTACTATCCATTTGCCAATAGGTTTCCCCATTCAGTGGCTCTCTGAAGACTGTCTCACTTATAAATTTTTTATTGCATATATGTTCACAGTTGTCAATATCTATACATCTTTTTCTGGTCATATGAATTCAAGACTATTATATCTCAGATTGGAAATTTTGATCACTAGGGAAATTATGAAAATATTCTTCAAGATTCTAGAAATAAAGCATATAATTTTGGATTTGCATTTTATACTCAACAATTCTGCTTCGGAAAATGTTTTGAGAACCACAGATATGGGCTAAGTAAAATAGTATCTGCTTCTAGCAAAACACGCCAATCTCCACTGAAACCCATTGCCAGAGAAATGAAAACAAATCAGTGTTAACAAGGGTAGGGGCGCAAGCGTATGTGTGTTTGTGTGTGTGTGTGTGTGTGTGTGCATGTGCAGAAGAAACAAATCTCTGTTGCAACTTGCATGTAAATCCAAACAAATGACTCGAGGGTGTACACTTACACGTGTTGGCCTGAAGTTAACACCCATAAGCAGCTACAATTTAGTACCATTTGAGGGCGCCCCAGGAAACAGAGATCAGAAGACTGCTGTGGTGAGATGATCCTGTCCTGTCTTCAGTTATGGGTCTACACCTGGGTGCCCAGGAGAACACCACCTGTGACGTTTGTTGGAGGGCAGAGTCAACTGGAACTGAGAGGCGCTCCCGACTCCTGACCAGCCACAGTCAGCAATGAGTGTGCACCCAATTTCTCAGGCTCTCGAAAAACCCCCTGCCCCTGGGCTAAATTTCATCTTTATGGTGAGAGAGTATGATGCTTACACTTTAAAGGTCAAGATGCATTAATTAAAACATTAACTCTGGGGGCGCCTGGGTGGCTCAGTAGGTTAAGCCTCTGCCTTAGGCTCAGGTCATGATCTCAGAGTCCTGGGATCGAGCCCCACATCGGGCTCTCTGCTCAGCGGGGAGCCTGCTTTCCCCCTGCCCCCACCTGCCTCTCTGTTTACTTGTGATTTCTGTCTGTCAAATAAATAAATAAAATCTTAAAAACAAATTAACTCTGTTCCTTTCACTCAAGCTGGAAAGGACTCCAAAAAGAAAAGTGGATATTGACAAGATACCAAGGTGGTATCTTGTCCTGGCATCTCTCCGTGCCACATCAGAATGACACCACGGAAAACACCTGCCCCACATACACCTAATCAGGCCGGGCTGCAACTGCACTTCTCCCTGATAGGAGTCGGGCTGGCGGGCACTGCTTCCGCTGGCAGACTTGGTGCCCGTCACACACTATACGCTCTCCACGACCGCTCCCTGCTGTATGGCAGGGTACGTGGAGCTCGGCTGGCACAAAGCCCTCAGCATCAGAGAGCTGGGAGTATGCACCGGGTGTCGGTAAAACACCTTATCGACACTCCTCTGAGTGTGTGCAACAACCCCACGTAGGTGTCTCTGTCGCCACTGAACAAAAGGAGGAGATCGAGGCCAGGCCTGACAAAGGCAAACAGGGCAGACAGGAGTGGAATCAGGGATGTCCGGTAATGCCTCTGATGCCATCCTGCCTCGCCGTGAGACGTGGTGCGGGTGCAATACAGATACGGGTGGAAAGCTGAACCAGAAGGGGCTCCTGCATTCGTTCAAGAAAAGTCAGCCCAGCTCCTGCTGTTTGCAAGTGACGGGATCAGGAGCAGGGCCACTGCGGTGAGCAAGACAGCTGGTGTGCCCTCTCGTCCCCCCAGCACTGGGTTTCCAACCGGGGGGCAGCAGGGGAGGGGTAGACAGACAAGCGAAGAAGCCACCTGTGGCCGGACAGGGTCTCGGCCCTCAGTCAGAGGGACAGCACGGCACCTGCGCTCAGACAGGGACACGCTGGAAGGCTGCCCTGGGAAAGTGGGCTTAGGCTGACATCTAGCATGGGAGCCTGCCACTTGCCATCTGGCACTCTTAGCTCTCCATCCCACTTACCCTGTCACTGTCCCATTCTCAAAATCTGCAGTTTGGGATTTTTTGCAATGCTTCTCCTTTCTGGCACTTTTCTAGACCACTCACATGTCACAGTGGGCAGCTGGGTGTCCTCTGGTCTTCAGGCTGGGATCTTCCATTTTACCAGCTGGGGTGTCGCCTTTCAGGAAGCGGAGGGGGGGCAGTGCTGTGGGCGGCTGTCCAGGTGGCCCTGTGTCCCCCGTCCTCCTGCCCCTGGGCTCCGGCCGCACTGCACACAGCCCGTGTCCACGTGGGAGCATGTAATCCAGCTTCGGGAAGCAAGCGTGACCTTCAGTTTTTGCTGTTGCCATTTTCATTACAGTCAGAATATGAGTAATAACTTTTAAAGCAGAACTTGGTAGTTGAACGAGAAGGGTCATTAAGAGGTGGGTTTATTTATTCACATTTTAATCTTTTCATTGCATACCATTTGATATTTTAGGAGATAGTTCCTTATTGCCAAGAAATATCGTTACGTCCCCTGTAATACCCTGGGAGCTCATCTTGTCTGATGGCCCACCCCAGCAGCGGCCTTGCTGGGTGGTGCCCTGGCGGCAGAGGGAAGGGCCAGAGAAACCAGGGCCTGGAAAGGCTGGTGCTGCTTTGACTGTGTTTTGTTTATAAGTCAGACTCAAGGTTATATTTTTATTTCCGTAAAACTGAAACTGACCTCTCTATTCCACATCAAGATCCAGAATGGAAATGCGGTTGGGTACAAATGGCTGCTGCTTCATCCCTCATTCTAGATGACGGCCTCTGCTTACAGGCAGCCCTCCTACACGCACCAGAGCTGTCGCTGGGGAATCGGCTGACACACAGCAGGGAAGCTCCCCGGGGCTGGCCCCTCGCCCCCAGCCCCCCCTGCCCCCCTGGACCTGAGACAGGGCATCACTGTGCGGCGTCAGCCCAAGACCACACTGACCAGATCTCCAGCTCTGCCCTCTGGGTCCACATCTGCAAACCAGCCGTTCCTCTCCAGCAGTCTGCTCAGGGTAGCACCAAGCAGAGAAAAGCAAACACAGAAGTAAGCTGTCAAGCTCAGCACTCCTTGAACACACAGTGCTGTTGTTAGAAAGCCCTCGATATTTTCTCTCGCTGGGAGCCTCTGGCTCATGTTCATCTCAAACGAAGCAATCATAAACGGGGTGAGGAAGGTGTTCAGGGCTCACGTGGCATGCATTCATGGACGGACGAATTACACGGATTATATGGATTTTCGGTATGAAATCCACCTGTGATTATAGCCCATGAAATTGCATTTTCCTTTCAGTCCTACAGAGAATTAAAAGGAAGGTCTGGCAATAAAATGGGCCTCAATCCGGGAGGTTTGGGTCCAGAGAAGTGCCGACGGCTGGAGGGACGGCTCCTGGAGCAGGGCCTGTGTCTCTGAGGCTGTTCGTGGGTGTGGGCACGACAGCCTCAGAGTCCCTGAGCCTGTTTTCTGATCTGTGACGAGAACTCAGGATCAGCCAGAGGGACGTCAGGGGGAAGAAGTGACACAGGCCCTCAGGGAAGCTTGCACAGGCCTCCCCAGCCTCGGCCCTCGCTAGCTGCCACTTGCTCTCAGCACCAGTAAGCGATGAACGTGTGTCCCGGTGCTGTCCCATCCCCTCCCTCGCCCACCTCCCAGGCTGCCCTATGACTTCGGGGACAGAGGTGGGGAAGCTGTCTCCTGGGGAATTCCCCTCGGGCCTCCTTCAGCCCTGGAGGCTGAGGATCTGTGGGCTCCTCTGGGCTCTGTTCTAAGTCAAATGACAGACCCCGCAGTGACCGCTGCAAGGACGTCTCTCTCCCCATAACCCCATGGTGACCACTGCAGACCCCACTGGTTCTCACAACGGCTGGATGAGAACATGGAGGGATGATGGTCCTCACTGTGTCATGTTTGAGGACACCAACCCTAAAGCCAACAGAAGAACTTCAGTGTCGCCGGCCACGAAGGCTGGCCTTAGGCCAGGCCCCAGGGGACTTCATCCTCCTCCCCCGATGCTTCTCCTGGTGAGGTCAGGTGAAACAGGCTCCAGGGTGAGTCCCCCTGGGCAAGCCCACAGCAAGGCCCTGGGCGCTCTGAGCAGGACGGAGGGCAGGGGGTCAGCCTGCGGAGGGGAAGCAAGGGCCATTGCCCCCTGCACGGGCGCCCTTTCACGCTGGGATGAGGCAGGTGCCTGAAAGCCAGGCCTGCCATTTGTCTCTGTACACATGATACAGCAAACACCAAGGCAGAAACAAACAGCCTTTTATCAGCTCCTGGAGAACAGCTGTTGACAAACTGCTTTTCCTGGAAAGGGACTCAGGCCTAGGGAGGGTACACGGTAGTCAGGAGCTCAAACAGCTAAAGAATGTCCCTCGGGGAGGGGCAAGTTAGGCCCCAACTGAGGCAGGGGCTAGTGAAAGGAGTAGATAAATCCCGGAGTGCCTCCTGGAGGAGGTGATGGGTCAGCTACGAAGAGGGAAGAGCTGGAGGGTGTGGGTGGACTGCAGTCCCGGAGGAGCGCCTTTCCCAGTCATCTACGGGAGCGGAGCAGAGAAAGGAAGCTGGCCGGTCAGCCGAGGAGCGGCCGGACCGTGGTCCTGTACGTGCAGATGCCCTCGGAGGGCACGTCCGCGCTGAGCCCTGCCAAGCCTCTTCCTAGAGGTGCTCTGAAGGGGCGGGCGCGCGGGCAGAGCAGGCAGCCGCTGCCCCTGTCGCTCCGCTCCTCCCTGGCTGGAGCCTGAGCCCACCCCCGAAGGCGGGGTCCTTGTGCACCCCTGCCCGAGGCCTCGGGGTGCATGCGCCCTCCGGGGTGTTGCCCATGCCTTGGTCAACCAACTCACAGGGAAGGTATTTGGCCAACACCGGCCCCCTCCATCTGGCCGGAGCTGATGCCCTGCAGCGCTGAGATGCGCCCCGCACGTTCCGGGCCTCGGCCCAAGGATCAGGGCAAAAACCAACACACCGTGTGGAACCTTGCTCCCAGCCGGGCAGCAAACAGACATCCCCTTTTCTCCCTCATCACTGCGTGGCAAAGAATCCAGTCTTCACCCGAGGCTGCACACACACACACGCACACGCACACTCACGAGATACGCAAACATAATGCAGACCAAATGCAGAAAAGCAAAGCAAACAGGATTCTGGAAAACTTGGCCTTCCATCTATTTAAACTTGAAATTTTGCAGTTTTCTAAGCTACAAAAATGAATCAAAGTTCTCCTAAGCAAGGAAATTACATGTTCTAAAGTTCCCCAAGGGACTCAGGGACCTCAGCATCACTGACGTTTTGGACGTGACCCTTGGCTTGGCCACATCCAGGGGCAGGAAGCAGGGGTCAGCCCACGAAAAAGGGGCTGACCCCATTGGTGCATTTCTGTGATTACTTGCATCGGTTTAATATTTTGAGGACAATCCTCCCATTTTTGATGGGAGGACAGCCGGCCCAGGGTGGTCACTGGTGCTCACGGAGCTGCCACAGGCGGGATCAGAAGCTGACGTGGGGATCTCCGGGACAGGAGACACATTTGCACTTCCGAGGCCAGACCACACTTCTCCTATATATTGCCATTTCCCCCACTGTTTGAACTGATTAAAGGAGCACAGAAAAGTACTTAGGCCCCTAAATTGCAACAACAAAGGCTGGGTTTCTCTCTTCAATCAAAACAGCACGGCTGGCTGATTCAAATGCTAATAGCCGGGCCTGAATTGGCCCCTAAAAGGGAGACACTCTTCCCTGCAAATGACCAGAAAGTCACTCCTTTGCAGCAGCAATCTGCAGGATGCTTCCCATTGGACGTTCTGCGAAATCGCTCCTCGGGAAGCACAGCTGTGGTGGTCTGGGTGTGCGGTGTGCTCTGTGCACGGGGTTCTGCAGGGGAGAGGAGAGCCTTCCGTTGAGAGAGCCTCTGACTCTAAGAACGGGCAGTCTTCCCTGAGCCCCTCTCCCGGTCATGTGTCCCAGAAGATATCCGCAGGCACCTGGCGAAGCCCCCAGTTTGAGAGATGGTTGCCACCATCTGGATTCCTCCTAATTCCAAGGTGGCCTTGCCTCCTTGGGCTCTCAAGAGAGGAGGCAGCTTCTCCTTCCCCACTCCCAGCTGCCATGTTCTTTGGTCCTCCCACCAGGCTCTACAGGCTCAGGAAGCTGGAGGCAGCAGACTGACTCTGGGCTAGAAGATCCAAGTTCACATCCTACGTCTCAGGGTGTGACCTTGGGGCCAGGGGCCACGCTCTGTGTCTGTGTACACCGTGCACCTGTTCAGTCCTAGGGGAATAGGGAGACAGAGGTTTACCTCCTCCCCCAGGTGAGGACAGATACCTACGATGCTCCCCGTGGGGCACAGACTCAACAGATCACAGGCCATGGTACCTTCACCACAAAGTGGACACAGACCAGGCAGACGGTGCCTGGAGCCTGGCCCTGGTCTCCGTGACAGCACCCACCTTGTAACAGAGGAGGAGGGGCTGAGCTCAGGGCATCTGCCCCATGCTGGGGAAAGCCCTCGGTGCTGGAACACAGAGCCCAGGGAGGTGCTCAATCGGGGCAGATGATAGAGAGGTTTTTAAAGACTTCTCTCCTTGGCCTCTCTTTTGCCATTCTTATAGCATTTTTTTAAATATTCGGTTTCATATTTGCCTTAGCCACCAATCATGTGATTGCTCACATTTTGAGTTCGTGCCTGTCCAGTGCCCAGCGTGGGGCACATGGCTCACCCCGCCATGAGCTCTCATGTTCCCTTGGTGCGCAGGTGAGCTCAGCTCCATTCTGTCGATGTCACGTGCTTGGTAGGAGCAACACTGGATTTTAAGTTGGTGTGCACAAGACGTTCCAGCAAATTCCAGTCCCGAGGGAATTATTACATAATCCTCAAAGATAATGGTCCCTTTCCTCTGTGGCAATTTCCTACAGTCCCTGATAATCTCAAAGGAGAGAAGTTACTTGGTTTACTGTGTAGATCTACACTACGCCAGGTTCTTTCTTACTGATTAGCTTTTATGACACTTCTGTTACTGGGATATCATCTGCAACCCATTGGAGAGTGACAGTGCTTTCGTGGACCTGTGGAAAGACTGTGAACACAAGTGTGGAAAGACAACTTAAAATAGGCTTCCCCAGGGCACCTGGGTGGCTCAGTGGGTTAAGGGTCTGCCTTCAGCTCAGGTCATGATCCTGAGACCTGGGATCGAACCCCGCATCAGGTTCTCAGCTCTGCAGAGAGCTTGGTTCTTCCTCTGCCCCTTCCCCGATTCGTGCTCAATCTCTCAAATAAATGAACAAAATCTTCAAAAAAAAAAAAAAATCAGCATCCGCATGTGTTTTAGAAAGGAGCTCACCTCCTGGAGAAGTCCATGTTAGCAAGGGAAGATAAATACATCTGATGCAAGCGGCGAAGGTATACTTTACTTGGGGAATCCTTCTCTTCTGGTTTACAAGTAATCTTGGTCTGAAAGAAATGTTTGATTTGTATTTGACTTTCCTGTCCTGCCTCCAGAGCTAGAACGCAAGCTGTCAAGGACGAGTACCTGTCCCTCTTTACCTCTTCAACGCACACTTCTGTCACACACGGGAGCAGTGCATTGTGCTGTTTCTTCGAGCAAATCTAGCACTTACTCAACTGAGCTTACACTTACTATGCTTTCGGATGTGCGTCAAAATATTCTAGGCATGCTGTAAATACTTAGACTCCTCGGCCTCTGTCTTCCAGGATAAATTCGTTGATGAGAGACTGCAAATGTCTCTGAAAAGCAGTAGTCTCTGACAGAGAGCAAGGCTCCCCGGGCTCAGACTGGTTAAAATAAGTAAATCAATAAGTGGATAGCATTCAGTGTAGTGTAATTAAGGGCGTTATCCAGCACAGTATTTGAGGTAATATTTTAAGAGTCCAAAACAGTCACATAAATTGCACTGCTTTAAATTTAGAAAATGAGGAAAAATTATTTTTAAAAGATTACAGAAGTAGCTGGAAAGTTAAAGTAAAACCCACTTGAATCCCCAGGGAAAGAATATTAGGTTTGAGATCATTTCAAAGAGAGGGGAAAACAAAAAACAAGAAACAGGAATGATAAGGGTGGGTGTGGAAGGAGGCATAGGAGGGCATCTTCAAGCCCTCAAGGTCTTTGTGGAGGAAATTATTACAGGGAAATCAGAACACGTCCTCAGTGAGTGCTCCACTGGAGAAGCACTATCCATGATCATGACCCATCCTTGACTAGCCGTGATCGTGACCCATTCTTTTTTTTTTCTTTTTTAAGAATTTATTTATTTGACAGACAGAGATCATAAGTAGGCAGAGAGGCAGGCAGAGAGAGAGAGAGGAGGAAGCAGGCTCCCTGCTGAGTAGAGAGCCCAATGCGGGGCTCGATCCCAGGACCCTGAGATCATGACCTGAGCCGAAGGCAGAGGCTTAAACCACTGAGCCACCCAGGTGCCCCAATTGTGACCCATTCTTGACTAGCCATGATCAAGACCCATCCTTGACCTTCACGCCACCCAGACCCAACCAATAGGCTGATCAGTTCAGGATTTCCCAGACTTGTCCGATGACTGGAATCAAAGGAACTGTTTGAGGAGCTTGACCAACACAGACCAACTAAATCGGAGTCTTCGGGGGAAAAGTGTGGAACTTCCCGTTTTTACCCCATGCCCCAGGACACTGCTGTGATCTGGCATGTCAGGATTATTTGTACTGCCGAGCATGGCTCGGGAAGACAAACGGGTAGGCAAGAGGTTGGTCTTCTTGGAAAGCCCCAAACATATGCAAACAACTTAGCACTGTATTCTTCGCTTAAAGATAGACTATATTAGGGGCACCTGCGTGGCTCAGTGGGTTAAGCCTCTGCCTTCAGCTCAGGTCATGATCTCAGGGTCCTGGGATTGAGCCCCACATCGGGCTCTCTGCTCGGCAGTCAGCCTGCTTCCTCCTCTCTCTGCCTGCCTCTCTGCCTACTTGTCATCTCTCTCTCTCTGTCAAATAAATAAAATCTTAAAAAAAAAAAAGTATCAGGGACTCTTAAAAAAAAAGATAGACTATATTAGTAATAGGACAAGATTTGTTTCACAGCTGGGCTTCTTGGGTATTCTCACAATAAAGAAAGCATTTGTTTGAATCCTTTCATTTTTCCTCCTCCACTATCGATTCTTCTAGATTCCACTGGGAACCCCCACATCTTGGGCTTCTCTTAGCTAAGACAGTCCGACTCAACCTGGGAGGCAGGCAGAGAGAGGTGGGAAGGGCAGGGAGAGGGGTCAGGGAGGCCTGGCAGCTCACCTTGTCCTGGCCTTGGAGGACTCCCCTCTCCATGGCGTCTTGCTGCTCCCGCATTCCTCCCCACTCTGTGAGCCCAGGAAGAAGACCCTGAGAGGAAAACGCAACATGTGCTTTTGCAAACACCCCTCAGTGCTGCTGCTTATTGATCCCATCCGGGCGGTGTCCCTCCACCTTCACCATAACTTAAAAAGGGGGAAACCTGCCTTGTCTGTCGCACTCAGACAGCGGCAGGGTCAGGCTAAGATCCCAAACGCAGTACGGTGTTGCCCACACACAAACCTCATCCCTGCTGCTAGGGCGTGTACATGTCGCACGCCGCGGTTTAGGATCCCTGGTCTGATGGTGCCGGCGGATGTGTTTGGTTGGGGACGCTCTGCGCCTTACCCACAATGCCTGCTGACGCAGGTGCCCCTCGCTCTCCGGTTAAGTATAAGGGAACGTATCAGATATGTAGCGACACTGAGCGTCTCCTCCGCGCTTCTTCTCTTCCTCTCCTTGCGGATTCAGATTTGCCCAAACATTCTTTTCTCTCGAATCCTCTCCAGAGGAAAACCAGGCAAAATCTGTATGGGGGTGGGGAGTGCACTTCTCCCACTGACCTCCGCTGGGCCTTGCCGGCAGCTGCAGGAGGCGGTGGATGCAAGTGCATCTGCAACGTGGTCTTTCTGGGCTGACATTCTGCTCTGGCCCTTCTGTCCTGTCACTCTGGGCAATGACCTCACTCAGTGCCCCATTTTCTCATCGACCGGGTAAAGGCCATGGCTCCTAACTTGACTGTGAGAAATAGAGAACCCTGGCACGTAGTGACATTTAATCACACTGGTGGATAAGGATAACTGGCCGCTGCCTTTCAGCTCCCATGGGACCCTTTTCCGGAAAGCTGACAGTCTGATTTGGCCCCTTCTGACCTCCAGGACCCCTCCTCCAGCTTCCGTGACCACACATCACCCGCCCTGTCTCTGTTCACTGCGCACACCAGGCTGGGCCCACGCAGGGTCTCTGCTGCTCCCCGCCCCACATGCCTTTGTCTGAAGCTGTCGCTTGGCATCTCTGCCTCACTCACTCTTCACCTTAGCGTCATCTCTGCAGACTGGAGCCACCCAGGGAGCGTGGATAAGGAAAATGGGGTGGGAGGCTCGCCACAGAACATCGTGCAGCTTTCAGAGGCACGAGATGGGGTACAGCATTGCTCAAACAAAACAGCTCAAAACGGAGTCACTCGTGCTAAGCTCCACGTCACCAAACCGAGACTTAAGTACTATTTGGGTTTCCCCAGAAATGGAGTCTTTAGCCAGTCAACCGGAAATTGCCTGACCAGCCCTGTGAGGAACCCAGCTGGACTGGCCCCTGCCATCCCCGAAGCAAAGTGCAATCTCCAAGCTTTTTCTTGTTGCCTTAACCATTTCTTGTCCACCCTCCCATCTGCCTGTAAGTCTGCCCACTTGTACAGCTCCTCAAAGCTCCTCTCTGTGTGCAGATGGGACGCTGCCCGATTCATGAGTCACTGAATAAAGCCAATAAGACCTTTAAAATTCAGTCAACTGAATTTTGTTTTCTTAACAAAGTAGAAAGTGGGCAGACTGAGTGAGGCACATCGGCATAGAGAGACAGAAGCGGGCACACAGGCACACCTGCAAACACCTCCAAGGGGCTGCTGGGGGTGGGGCAGGGCTGGGGGTGGGAGGCAAAACGCAACCCCCACATCAACCATCACTCCGTCCACCTACATTCTCCAAATAGAACATATCACTACCTAGACCAACTAGACATGTGCCTAGTTAAATTAAAGGTGCATTCATCTATTACATGAAAAAGCACTTCAACATTTCAAATTCTCTCTTTTTTTTTTAAGTCATTACCATTAAAAGCAAGAAAACAATTGAACTTTGGACAAATTCAGAATTGAAATATCTCAGAAATATAGCTTTCATGTGTGAAGGGGAAATCTACTTTTAGTTACAAGTAAGAAGAAATTCGGCAAAAGACCATCCAATGCAGCAAAGACAAAGTCTTCGTACGATAAGCAGCACTCCGTTTTGTACAGACGCAATGACCCTTCACCCCTAAATATTTCATCATATATTTCCCAATAAAAAGGTTATGTTCTTATATTATCTTAGGAAAATGAACAAATTTAGGAACTGAATTTTGCTCTCATGCTTATTCTTTAATTTACAAACTAAATTCAGATTTTTACAATGGCTCCAACACATCAGCGAAGGTAATGTTTTAAGGTTATATTGAGATCCAGCCCACTAAGATAACAGGGATGGTAACTTCGAGAATGAATCTGTATCGTAAAGATTAAAAAAAAAAAAAAAAGAAAGAAAAAGCCAGTTTCCAGGATGAGAAACAGATTCGATGAAGAGGAATTACTTAAGCATCAGAACAGCTCCTGGGTTGATCACTTCAGCTGCACATGGCAAAAGCAACACAACACTGAGATTCTCTGTAAGGAGGCACATGAATTCTCAAGGCGTTTCGTACTGTTTCCAGAAGGGGAAGAAATGGTTGCGAGTGTTACGAACCTAATTGCGATTCTCCCCAAATTCACATATGGAAGTCCCAACCTTCGATGTGAAATACAGAGAGATAGAGTCTTTTAAAAAAGTAATCAAGGTTAAATGAGGTCACAAGGATGGGGCCCAACCCAATAGGACTGGTGTCCTTATAAGGAGAGGAAGGGACACCAGGTGTGCACTCGCACCAAGGACAGGCTGTGTGAGGACATGGGAGAAGGCGGCCATCTACAGGCCAAGAGGAGAGCCCCACCGGGAACCCACTGGGCAAACACCTTGATGTTGGACTCGGAGCCTCCTGGACTGTGAGAAATGCATCCCTGTGGTTTAATCCCCCTGTCTGTAGTGTGGGGTGAGGTAATGGAGCACCCGTCTCATGAGTTTCTTAAATTAGATTTCATTGTAACACCAAACACTAGAACCCCACCTGATGTGATGCACAGGGTTTGCAGAGGAAACGCTATGTCTTTAAAAAGTGGAAAGGGTAAAGGGACCTAAATGGACGTAGACATTCAAAGCTTCACTCAAGGCAGTAAGACTTTGATACGAGGAGCCTGAGGTAAGTTTCTTCCATATTGTAATATCTAGAACAACCACGCAGAAAACAATACAAAGTGAAATGATCAAAAAACATGGTAAGTACACAAAAATGGAATTCCAAAAATGCCAGTGTAATCTGCAGAAAAGCCAAGTAGAATTTTCAGATATGCAGAAATGCTTCAATATTCAAAAATTAGTCACTATAGACCACCTTACCAATAGGCTAAGAAACCAACTGATGCAGAAGAAACGTTTGACTGAATCGTACACCCATTCATATAAATCTCTCAGCAGCAAACTAGGAATAGAGAGGAACGTCCTCAAGACTGGGCAGTTGTGCCCAGCAGAGTTGTGATAAAGGTGCAAACACAGTTCAGGGGAGGGGATAGATTATTCCACAAATGGTGCTAACGCGAATTAACTGTATGGGGAGAAAATCCTTCTCAAGAAAATGGGCTCATGACCAGGTAAAGTGTATCCCAGGTGTGCAAGGCTGATTCAACATTCACAGGTCAATTAATGTAATCCATGAGGTCAATAAATAAAATAGATGCAAAAAATCATTTGACAAAATCCAACACCAATTCATGATAAAAACCCTCAGCAACCTCGAAATAGAAAGGAACTTCCTCAGGGTGCCTGGCTAGCTCAGTCCGTAGAACATTGTGACTCTTGATCTCGGGATTGTGGGTTCAAGCCCCATGTGCGGTGTAGGTTTGTTTGTTTTTAAGAAATTTCCTTATTGATAAAGAACATCTACAATTATCTTGACACTTAATGGTGAGAAACTAGATATTCTCCCCTAAGAACGGAAACAAGGCAAATATGTCCTTTCTCACCACTCATAGCCAACATAGTACTGGAAATTCTAGCTAATGCATAAGGGAAGAAGAAGTATATAGATTGGGAAGGAAGAAAGAAATCTGTCTTTGTTCACAGGTATTTTGTTCATGATTGTCTATGTAGAAAATCCCAGCACTAGCCCCCCAAAATTTTTTGTCTGGACCTAGGTGATTATATGAAGGTTAGAGGATACAAATTTAATGTACAAAAAGCAATCAATTTCCTACATACTGCAATGAACAATTAGAATTTGGAGTTTAAAACACAAGACCATTTATATGGTCACCTAAAAAAGTACTCAGGAATAAATCTAACAAAATATGTATGAGATAGATAGGAAAACTACAAAACTCTGATCAAAGAAATTAAAGATCTAAATAAAAGGAGAGATTCTTCACGTTCAGGGATGGGAAGATTCAGTACTGCTAAGACACGAGTTCTTCCCAACTCAACAAATAGATTCAGTACAGTCCCCTCGAGAACCCCACCAAGTTCTTCTGCAAATGTCAGCAAATGACTCTGAAGTTTACATGAAAAGTCAAAAGACTCAGAGAAGGACACCTGGGTGGCTCAGTGGGTTAAGCCGCTGCCTTCGGTTCAGGTCATGATCCCGGGGTCCTGGGATCGAGTCCCGCATTGGGCTCCTTGCTCGGCGGGGAGCCTGCCTCTCTCTCCGCCTCTCTCTCATCTCTACCTGCCTCTCTGCCTGCTTGTGTGCTTTCTCTCTCTCTTTCTGACAAATAAATAAAATCTTTAAAAAAAAAAGACTCAGAGAAGCCACCACAATAGTGAAGAACAAAGTCAGAGGACCGACACTATCCAACTTCAAGATTTACTCTCAGACTACAAAAATTAAGACAGTGTGTAATTGATGAACCAACCGTCAAATGCATCAGTGGGACAGAATAAACAGGTAAGACACAGACCTTCACAACTACAGCAACTGATCTTTGACAAAGTCTTTTCAAGAAATGGAACAACTGAACACCCATGTGAAAGCAAGAAGAATTTAGAGAGCACGAACCCAAGTTCAGAATGGATCATAGACCACACAGAGAATGCAAGCCCCAATGCCTGTAGGAGATCCCACGGAGAAGCCTAATTGACCTTGGCTGGTGATGTGTTTTTAAGGTACTACACTAAACGCAGCACAGTCCATGAAAGGAGAAGTTGGTAAGTTGGATT